TTACCTATTTAGGAGGCGGTGGAAGGGGTGGGCAAAATATCCAAAGGGGGGTGGACAAATTATCCGGGGCCTTGTTTTAAAGCCTACAACAGTCTGTTGCAGGCCTTGCGTACGTGACTACTAAACCTGGTTTTAGCAATACTTGTAGCTTTTCGCTATAGCCAGCTTTTATTGCCTGTCGTAGGGTCGCGTGGCTGAACATTTTGAAGTGTGTCGGTCCAGTTGCACGAAAAATTGTGGATGTGTTATAGACCTCGCATTGCCACAACAACCCATCACAATTGGTCGTATAACTATATATGGTAACGAAAGCACATGGCATAAACGTCATATGTATAAGCGGAGTAATTGGATAGCAGACAGTAACTCCGCTAGTTTGCAGCTTGCTATGGTTATATATACTCGACGCCCATGTCGCAATGCGGCAATACATCAACCTCTAAGACAAGAAAGCCTAAGCATGCAACTATAGGTTATCACTTACACCTACAACAAATATCTAGATTCTTCCGCATTCACGATCCCACGAAGCCTGTTCACTCCGCTCAGCCTCCACGGCCCATGGTGTATGGAGGTAGGATGAGTTGCAGTAATACTGCTCGTACCGAGATCCAAGCCTACGCAGAAAAGTATAAAAGACAGGCCCTACTTGTATGCCCTATCTCGCCTCAGTTTCTACCCAACCCAACAACTGAAGACAAAATCACTGTTGTTTTTGGATTCCAACAACCGGGTGCGTGTGTGCGTACGGCCGCTTCTTTGGACAGTGAGCTGAAGGACAGACGAAGGCAGTGCTTTGCTTTGCTTTGAGTCGGTTTGATACGGTGGTGCTGCTCGGCTTGGGGGGATGGTGGTGGTGGTTATTGAAAGTCAATGCTAGTTAGATACTCCTACCTAGTTGGTTGGTTGCATGGACGACGATGATGCCGATGCCGATGGGGAATATCAGTAAGCGGTGATGCTCTACGTAGATGGTGGTTGGTGGTGGTGATGCGCTTTGTGCTTTAGGCTTTACGGCTGTGTTGGTGTTGGCGCACTTTTGTGAGTTAAGGGGAGCGTGCCTGTAGTGCTTCTGGAGTCGGTTGTGGGGTGGTATCCGGAGGCGGTAATCCGTTATGACATAGTTGGACTTATGCGACGCCCTGCTGCCCAAGGCGTCGTCGTTGTTTCGACGAGCGAGATATTGGATCATGTTGGTGAGGCTGTGGTGCCTGCGTGCTGGTCTGAAAGTTTTGGGGCTTTTTTGTGTAGAGATTGGGTGTTGAGGAAACGGTTCCGTGCTCTGGCTTAAGGTGGTGACGGGGTGGAGTTTGTTAGGGTTGTATCTATATTCGTGTGTAGAATGAGGACCCTTAGGACTTGTTATGATTCTGGATTGGTTTTGGGAATGCTTGTGGTGTTCACTTGGTTTGCGTGCGGTGTTTGTTTCGGTTGGCGAGAGTAGGATTAAGTCGTTTTAGTGTGGGGAGGGACGGGATACTGCTTTGATGGTTGTTACTGTTAGACATCTCAGTGGCTTAAGAGGTGTGGCTGTAGGAGGTGAGCGGATGTTGTTTGTAGCCGAACGCGAGGATATTAAGAGAGAGAATAAACTAAGAGAATAGAGTACCGAGGGATTTTAGTAGTATAGTGTGGGCGCCTAGTACATTATAAAACCACCTTGCCTAAGCCTACATCTCTCTTCTCCATCTACTGCACCACCGCCATCCTCGCCGTCCTTGCTCGCCGGCCCAGGTGAAGGCAAAGACTGGAAAGGAATCATTCACCGGGATATATGCTTAAAAACAACCGTCTACAGCACTCCAGACACAGCCAGCTGAAACTGCAACTTGTTGTCGCTGACTCTAGCCTAGCATTCAGCACACCGTTGTCGCTCGAGTGTATAAGTAGATGATGCTGATCGTTACTGCTCTTTGTTTGTGCTCGTCACTGAAAGAAAACGCTTTGTTCTCGTGGGCTATGCGCATGAGAAGTGAATGAGTTGATAGATGAGAAAAATCGAGATGATAAATAGGTAAATTATCCCGGGCCGGTTGCTTGAGTCTCTTCTTGTTTGAAGAATTCCGTGCTGCCGTCGTTAATGCGGAGGTAATGTTCGCTAGCTGGGCGGGTACTTATTATATACCTTTACTCTCCCTTTTTCTCTCTGCGTTTCTGTAAGTTTGTCTATCCTTATGCGGAGAACTTGATCAACACTGAATTTAATCCGCCACACTAGCGTCATATGCGCCCTCATCAGCACAGGCAAAGATCCCGAAAAAGCAAGCCACAAAGGAAGCAGAATCAGTAAGAACCTACCTATACAGTAACATCACCATCTCCGCCTCGATGCACTCATCCAAGCTATTTAATTAGGTTTATTACTACCAACCCCACTTCATTCACCTACACCGATCAGTTTCGCTCGTCGGCATATCCGTACTTCTCTTCCATGTGTAGCCTAGAATAAACCCATCTAAAGCGCTCAAGGGTGTACACAACGCACTAAACCCACCCACCAAGCAAACAGCTACAACAAACCAAATAAAACGCACCAAGTCACTTTCCTAGACGACTAAACATCTCCACCACACCACCGTACAACAATAATCTCAAACATATATAATACACGCTAGCGCTCTACACCACCCTTAGGTCTTTAATCCTAACTAAACCCAACCCGCTACTACTTTAGAGCTTGTCTTAATAATAACATACGATATGGTAATAGTGGTTCCCCCAGTTCATGCATGATACTACACCCATGTCTTCATTCGTCGCTTCCATTCCACCAAAGCTCAGGCCATGCAAGATGGGTTAGTGCTGCAGCTGTGTTTCTCTCCGTGCCTCCTGCCCTTTTGTAGTAGCGTGGGTCTGCTAGCTGACGCTTTTATAAGCGCCCTCTAGCACTCAGCACACACACACTCCCATATACTCCCCCACACGTCTCCACACCCCTCCCCACTACATCAAACCAACCAACTACTCACTCTAACCATCCCATCCCAACCCAACCCCAACCCCGTCATCAAATACTCCAATCAGTCAGTCAGTCAGTCAACACTCAATAATTTAATAGTTTAATAAGTTAGCCAGTAGTGTAAGTACGTAAGTACGTAAGTGTAAGCGAGTAAGTGAGTAAGTCAGCCAGTCAGCCAGCCATCCAGCCAGGTCAGCCTCTTAGTAACGTCAATAGCATAGCATAAGCGGGTAGGGAATCGAGCGAAGACGAAGACGAAGACGAAGGTGGTGGAGAAAGAAGGGGAGAAGGGAAAAGGAAATGGAAGAAAGGAAGAAGGACAACGCCGCACCCGCACCACGCACACCCACACCACCGCAGACAGCGCTAAAAAAGGTAGGCAGTGTCAGCAGAGGAAGAATGGGAAAAGGGGAGGGAGGGAGGAGAAGGGAAAGAAGGAAAGAAAAGAAAGTAAGCAAGTAACCAAGCCGACACCGCTCCGCTCCGCCCCGCCATCTCCATCTTACGCACCAATCAATCCACCCTCTCTCATCTGCACTCTCCCTCTCTCTCCATCTAAACATACACCCCTCCCAACACCTCTCCTAACACCATACCACACCCCCTCAACTCCACCCATGCCCCATATCAAACCGATGCATCAACGCCTTCGGGATCCGACTCCCCCTAGGCGGCACATGCGCATGCCGTTTCACCACCGCCGCCCGTCTCGCCACCCTGCAGCCCTGCTTGGTCCCCGCGTCCACAATCCCACCCCCACCACCACCGCCATTCTCGTCCTCATACCCCTCCGGCGTGCAGCACTCAATGGCCCGCATCGCCGGCGTCGACAGCACCTCGCGCATGCTGATCCGCCGCGCCGGGTCCGGCGCCAGCATGCGGATCGCCAGCCGCTTGATGCCGGGGGAGTCGAGATGCTGAAAGGCGGGGGCCGTCTTGGGCGCCGCGTCAGCGCCCGGTGCCGCCGCCTCGTCCTGCACCATTGTCGCGGCGGAGTAGGCGTCGTCGTCGTTTTTGTCGTCGTAGTCGTCATCGTTATCATCATTATCATCGTCGCCGGCCGAGTCGTTCCAGTCGCGGCTCTTGCTCTTTATCTTGCTCTTGCTCTTACTCTTACTTTTACTCTCTGCCCGTCGCCGCGCAAGCCACTCTTCCCAGTTACGCACGTACGACGCGTATTTCACATCGCTGCTCACGTCGGCCGCCAGCCACGGCTGCTGGTTCGACATGTAGAAGAGCGAGATGGCGCAGGACCAGACGTCGATGGCACGGGGGTCGTAGGAGCCTGTTTGCGCGCCAAGAAGGGGCTGTGTCAGCCAAGTGACCTACGTAACAACGAAGCAAAAGCAAGCAAGCAAACAAGTGTGTGTGTGTGTGTGTGTGTGCGGGGAGGGAAAGGGATTCCAAATCCGACGACGCGCAGCGGCGCTGCAGCGCATCATCATCCTCCCGCCAAGGACCTACGTACCCTTCTTGGCAAGCACCTCGGGCGCCATGTACGGCCTGCTGCCGCAGATGCCCGGCTTGCACCATCGCACTGCTCCCATGTTAACACCGCACTGGCCGCCCGCGGCGCGCAGTCCGGGATGCTCGCCGCTAAACACCTCGGACACGCCAAAGTCGGTGATCTTCAGGTGTCCGGATGCATCGAGCAACAGGTTCTCCAGCTTGATGTCGCGGTGCGCAATGCCGTGGTCGTGCAGGTACGCCACTCCGCGGCACAACTGCTTGAAGAAGCACAGCCGGTCCGCCGCCTTGTAGTATCCGCCAAACTGCGGCGGTAAAAACAGCCCCTTCTTGGCAAGGTCGTACAGCTCTCCGTGCGGGCAGAACTCCATGATGTGGTTCCAGCGGCCGTTGTGCGTGCACAGCCGCAGCGTCTCGACAATGTTCGGGTGATGCAACGACTTGGCGATGCTGTACTCGCTCTTGATCTTGTTGACGTAGTCCTCGGCCGACTCGTCCTTTTCGCGCGCCCGGAACTCCTTGACCGCGTACAGCTCGTCGCTGGCTCCACCCCGCCGACACATGATGCGCACTTCGGCCGTCGCGCCGTCGCCCAGCTTACGGCCTCGCCGGAACGGTAGTGCCGACGAGCTCTTGTACTCCTTGTCCAGCTCGCAATAGTCGACCATGAACTCGTCCAGCAGGCTGGTGCTCAGCCGCCGTGCCTTGAGTCCGGCCCCTTCGGCCGCCCGTCCCACATACTGCGGTGCTGCCACCTGCGTGTCCTGCTGATGGTGGTGCGACGATGGCTTGGGCATTGAGTCGGTGCTGGCTGACCGTTGCCGGCCCATGTGCGGCGGCGACTTGGACGGCGCCATCTTGCCGTCCTTGCTCTTGTTGTGGTTCGAGAGCGTGTCAAAGGTGATGCCGAGCCTCGGCCGCGGAGCGCTTCCGGCCGTGCCGGGCTTGTCGGCCGCGCTCGCACCCTCGTCCGTCGTGCTCGTCGGCGAGTCGGTCGGCGATGGCGTCGTGGACTGCGACGTCTGCGGCGAGTTGCGCACTGACAGCGAGAAGGAGCCGAAGCGACGAGTCCGGAGGGGCGGCAAGTCCGTTTGCGAGCCGCCGGCGGTAGTGGCGGAAGCGGCGTCGTTCTTGGACTGCGTCTTGGAGCTGGTGCGGATGCGGTTCTTTATGGCGTTGCCGATCTTCTTGAAGCCGCCTCGCGCCGAGGACAAGGGTTCTTGTACGGGTGAGCGTGTTGTTGAGGAGGAGGTGGTGGTGGATGTGACGGTCTTGAGTTCAGGTGCAGATGCAGGTGGGGACTTGATGGTCGAGTCGGCGCCGTTCAGAGCGTGATGGAAGGACGAGTTAGCATCGCTGGTGGGAGTGATGGGCTCAACACGTTCGCTGGCAGATTCATTGTTGCTGTCGTCGTAGGCGTCGTTTCCCGGCGCCGAGACGGTCTGTAGCTGGGTCGCCATGGCCTTTCTTGGCTTCGGGTCGGGCGTAGGGCAGTGGCAGTGACAGGTTGAGTGGAAGAGGCTCGGGTTTTGAGCGGTTGGGGACCGCGACTACGGATTTCGATGGTACGGGACCGTTGGGCTGGAGTCGAAGTGGGCCATACGTGAGAGTGGGTAGGAGTAGGTGATGATGATGATATGGGAGAGTAGGTGGAGTCTTTGGACAAGGGCAGGGCAGGGCAGCAGGGCAGGTCGCAGGCAGTTTTGGCTAAAGAAGGCAAACCGTGGCACCGAGGCAGTTGGCGTCATTTCCGATGAATGGAGCAAAGGGGGAGGCTTGGCCGTGAAGCTTCTCTGTGATGTGCATCGTTCCCCGCATTTTCGCTGGCCCGTCGATCCGTTCTGCCTACACCAGCGTGCGACCTGTTTTTGCAAAGGGATCCCTCCACCTACTCCACCAAACAACACGCCACTCGACATGAATCCGCGCCGCAATCTCGCATAATCGCCTTCGCCATCGCCATCGCCACCATCATCACGCGCAGCAGCACTCCTACCTACTCTACCTTACCACCACCACAAACACATTCCCGCCCCCTACCTCTCTCCACACACACACACACTCTCTCCCTACTTCCTCCTCCCTGCCGTCAGCAAGCCCACCCAACAACAAAAAGCTCTGCTAAGCTCTGCTTGGCTGCGTCGCCGCGCCCAAAGCTGACGACATGCGACATGATGCGGCTCGCGAGAACGATGCGTGTCTCAGACCTACCAGTAGATATGTAGCGGGCGGGAATAGCTGAAGGGATGGTGGCGGTGGTGGTGGCATGGCATGGGCGACATGTCTGTTCGCCCTGTAAGAGGTTGTCGTGATTAGCGGCAGGATAGGCGAGTCGAGGACCTCATCACCTCACTCAGCTCGAGATCCTGTTCCGATCCACCCCATCTCTTCCTCCCACTCACACTGTGTCCCCGTCGCGTACATTCTCTCCAAACCACCACCACCCGCTCGACAAGCCATCCGGCAAGCCTCCACCAGACCACCACACAACACCACACCACCACAACCATCGGAGTCCCCCGCCGTCAGCAGCATCAGCACAACCAGCGCATCAGCAGCCAAACGCCAGAACGCCCGAACGCCAACGCTAACACAACCACCAGCACCGGCACCGGCATCGGTGGTCGGCGGTCGGCGTCCGCAGTCGGCGTCGGCGTCGTCTTCATCTCCGTCTCTCTCAGCAAGCCATGCCAGCCAAGCAGCAAACAAACAAGCAAGCAAGCCCGCCAAAAACCCTCCATCACATTTCCCACCCAAGCAAGCTAATATCCACAGGGTTAGGTACATACTGTACAGCTTTAGTCGTACACGGTAGGTTGGTAGTAT